AATTGGGCGGATGCTACGATTCAATCCAGCCAATCAAAGAGCTACAAAAGTGATTCGTCACTGCGCTGATTGGATACTCCAAGAAGGAAAGGTTTGAGGGGTCTCGTATTTGCCATCCTCAAACGGAAATGTGACGAATGATTCAATAAATATAGTACGATTACGGGATATATGGTAAAAGATGAGAAAACAGAAATTGTTTACATACAGCGTTAATAGTATATACTTGCGCAGGGTCACTGAAAATAAGTGTCTTACTAGTGCTTTAACCTCCGACCTGAGTTGAAACGGACTCGTTAAATGTGTAACAAATAAAGCCCTCGCAAAATTATTCCTTCTGAAGAGAACGTTAAAGTTTTAGACTCAGGAAAAAAAGAAAATTTTTTTGCATACAGCACTTTTGTGCGTGTATTATTAGAAACGCAAACACATACTAGTTGCCTCATGCACAGAATGATGGAAGTATTATAGAAAGCGTTCAGAGAAAGGCGGTTAGATTTGTTTACCGCAAATACAGCCGTTTCGGTCGAGAACACACCTACTCAGAAATGCGGGTTTATTGACCGTTGCTGCTCATTCAAAACTCAGCCGACAGAAAGTTATGTTCCTCCATCCTAACAATGCATTGAAAATTGGTCAAAATTAGTACGTTAAGCTGCAAGAAGCAAGAGTCACGAGACATGAGCATATAACGCACCCGTTGAGTATTATTTTAATATTAACAGGTTTATATACTAATTTCTCCACCAGCTACAAGAGACCGAAGCACTCTAGATAGACACTCTTTTAGTTATGAAAGTTATGACTTATTTATTAGTGCAGTTTAAAAGGAACTACTTTGAAAAATCATGAATCGATATGCGATTCCCTTTTTTTTAAAGACGCGATGTTTTGTTGTATTTTTATTAATATTTGCCTCATATCTATATTTTTTTCTTTTGTTCCAGTGCCCCCAAAAATCCAAATAGGGATTGATAGCCTTTTCAAATAAATTATTGTCGTCATTGTCATCAACATAAATATCATTATCATCATCATCATAATTTATTTTCATTGAAGACCCAGGGGGGCATTATACGAGGAAGTGAACACTTCAAAACGGAAACAAACACAAATACTTACGGACAAAACCCCCGGCAATCTAGTTATAGCTTGGAAAAATTAAAGGTAATGGCTGCAGCAATTTTCTTAGCGTCAGATGTGGCAAAATTACGCCAGGCAGTGCATTCCAGTCGTCCAGTCGTCAATGGCCAGTGGTAAAGTAGACATTCGGTGAGTGACGGTTGACGATGAAATCGGACGGAGTTTACAAGAATGGTCGAGACCAGGGAAAATGCGGGAAGGAGGTGATAACAAACTTTGTCTGAGATGATTGTGGTAATAAAAAATCCGATGACAAAGAGAAAGACGAGACACCTTGCGACGGTGAGAAAGTGTGTCAAGGTTCGCTGATTGGCGAAATGCCTGATATACATTTCACCAAAGGACGGTATTCGAATGAAATAAAACGGAGGGCTCTGCTGTGAACGGATTCCAGGTTGTTAGTTAGCTATGCCTGCCACGGTGACCTTATGAAAGAAGCGAAATCTAGTTTAGTTCTGACCAAGGTTGTATAAGCTAGTTGTTTTACTGGGGATGTAGCTTGTCTGAGGTTACGGCGATAAAATCCGAGAGTACGGTTAGTATCGGCGATGACAGATGTTTTTGTGTCCTGAGTACATAAAATAAATTCCCCAATAAACCACACCTTTAGAAGTTCTTGCATTCGAACTTTCGCGCTATATATTAGGAAAGCCAATCGTTGTTTTTCTTTGTATTCTGCTTAGAGAATGACAAGGGAAAGTGAAATCGCGCCCTAACGGTCATGCCCACTTAGTAAAAAAAAGTGCGGTCACCCTTTCAGCGCTATACTTCGTTTCAGCTTCCGTCTGAGCGCAGCCAAAGGCTGAGGGACGGTTCGCAACTTTGAGAAGAGCATTCCTACGTACTACAAAGTAGTCCGCAAAAGTAATTTTTTTAAAAATAACTGTTTTGTGCGTAAACATTGCACAATATTCCAGATGTGTACTGCTAAGAATGCTTTGCAACTAAAGGACTTAAGTATCTGAAGTTTGTTTTTATTATTATATGTAAATGCATGTGGTTTAGTGAAAACTCGTACATCCGCTGGCAACACGGCTGCAGCGCTCGGTTTCTCTGAGTGATTTCGTTCCCGTAATGATCGAATCATGTGCTTCGCTGCTTTCCACGCCGAGTCGCTTCAAAACATCTTTTCGCAAAGGCACGTTTGGACGTCAGGCGCGAGAGGTCGTGATGGAATGCCTGCTTTCAATTTCGGCAGGAGACTCAGGCCGCGTCGTATCGCGTATGCGTTGTAAACAAGAAAAGCGTCCGGGCCATTCCAATTCACTGATACGCGGCGAAATCAGAGCACCCCTTTACCTGCGGATTACATTGAGCGTCGATAAGCTGGTGGAAAGGACCGCGCCTCGAGCCCTGATATATCCAGACAATACAAGGAAACATCAACGGCCGGGTTATCGGGCACCTTGCAATGTGTAGTTACATCTTGAAACTATATGCCGAAAAGGGGGAACGCTCGAACACAGACGCCAGCGGCCAGCCTACGTACTGATATCCCCTGTGACTAAATTTAAGAACGTGAAAAGGCCCTTTTAAACCTGTAGCAGACGATACCGTTGATACACCCGTAGCAGACGAAATACTCGGAGAGCGCGGGCGGCGCGGTTGACCGGCGGCGCACGGAGTGATGCAAAAGTGGAGGCGAGGTCGCGTGACCTATTGCCGGCGTGTGATTGGCTCCGGCCACACGTAGCTTCGGCTGCGCTCGGACGGAAGCTGAAACGAACTAGAACACTATATACGGACATGTTGCCAACCGTCTCCTCGTTGCTAAGCTGACAAAATGAAGCGCAATAATTGGTGTTCATAGGGAATCGCGGCTCGCGATACAAACAGAAACTAAAAAGTACGCTACAAAAATTGCGAAATCGTAAACACGGAAGATGGTCATAAAAGGCTGCCTGAAGTTTCCATCCTGCATAGCATTCAGCAGTTCACCTCTGATTATTTCTTTATTCTACGGACCGGAGTGGCTACTTAATTATCAGCAGAGTAACTGCATGCAATTAACCAGTAGCTGATTTATATAGTCTCGAAGGACATTAATCTTCATTAATCCGAGGGGTAATGCCCTGCTGAACATTGCCAATAAAAAAGTAACATTGCCAATAAAAAAAAATTGCAATGGACCTTTTCCGAGAAGTGTTCTGCGCACGCGCGAGCGCCCGATGCCAAGCGGCGGAAGTCGGAACGAAACATAGAGGAAATTGGGAAGGAGGCTGTATATCAGCGAGTAGAACACGTAACTGCAGCATATATATAATTGTGTTACACAAAAAAAGAACGTCGACGGAAAGGAAAACATGACGTTTGGGTGGACGCCACGGATGCCCCTCTTTCAAGTCGCATTGGGCAGGGGCAAGGCGCCGCTGCTCAGAGTGCGAAGAAACTGGTAGCGTAGCTCCCATTGTCGTTTGATAGCGCAGGTAGGTCACTTTCTCCATTTTTAGTTCGTGCAGCCACCGCCTGGTGCCGTCGGTATGTGGAAAAGGTCCATTGTTTTATGAGAGGGCGTAACGTTGTCACTCAAAAGAGGAGACTGGGTTGGTTCTCGAAATTTGTCGGATTGCATGCGACCAACACGGTGTGAACAAGCAAGACTGCGTTTGCCGACGTGTAGGCTCAGCGCGTGCGTGGAAACGCGATTCGTGTGAAGTGAAGCGTCTGGGCGTGAATCGTGCCCACAACAGAGCCACCGCCGCCGCGTGGCCTTGTATCCATTACTGTCACTTGACAAACGGCGAAGGCAACGGTCCCGGTGATCCAATCGGCACGTCAGAGGCAAGCACGTGACTATGTTCTACTTCACTAGTTGTGCTCGGTGCTCTTAATGTCACCGGCGAGAGCGACAAGAGAACCGATTTTGTACATCATTGTAGTGACTGGCTAGTCTTCGTTTGAGGGAGAAAAGCGACGTCTACGAGGCACAAAAGAGGGTCTGCGTAAGAGAGGAGTTCCTTCTGCCCAGTGCTGTAGACGTTACTAAAAAAAGTAACGAAATACGCTACCCGTTACTTGAAAATACGAGGAACCTGTTACCGACCTACGTTACCTCAAAATAAAAGGAACGCGTCACCGTTACCACCAAAAAGTAACGTACGTAACTTTTACGTTGTACTTCAATTATGGAATGAACACGTTTTATTATTTTCATCACACAGGTTTCCATAAGCGACATATTAAAGAAACATTATACCAACCCAAGAACAAAACAGTTACCTGATCTTTTTACGATTTATCCTAACGACTCACGACAAAAAAAATTCAAAAAGAAACGCGAAAATTTAAAAACAAATTATATGGATTGGCTACAATAAACCTGAAAACAAATTGAAGTGTATTTTCTTTTTAAGTAATGGGAAGAGTATTTAACGAGTAAAGTAACTAAGTTACACGTTGCTCGAAATAAATAACGTCGTTACACGTTACAGTCTTAAAAAAAATGTAGCGACCACGTTCCAAAGTTATCGAGTAAAGTATCGTTTTACCAGTAACGCCACTGCTTGACCGGTAACGCCCTCTTCTCCAACTGGTTGCGCTACGCTCTGGCACCCTTGACGTTTGGTAACGGTAAGAGCAGCCACGGGCATCGCCTTCGTCGCTCTGATTGTGTCGAAAGGGCCGTAGCCCTCGTTCTCCGCCAACTTACCATGAAACGAGGTATAAAAACGAACTAATCCCACTTATATGGAGGGTTATCTTTGCGGTGCTCCACTCGGTTCAGTTGCGACGTACGTGCACTGGTGACGACGCAGTTTTCTCGGTTGCTCAAAGAGCTCGGGCAGATTATACCGCATAATATGATCCACTCACGATGCTTATCCAGATGCCTTTCTCTTTTCTCTGTGCTTTTGCAGAGCCACCCGGGAAGCCAGTGATTCGTGAGGCAGGCAGTGACAACAGGGAGCCTCTGCGGAGCCTTATCGGACCTTACAACGAGGGCGACAGCCTGTCGCTGGTTTGCGACGTCGAAGACGGTGGGTTGGAAACTACTCACGCCCTCTTCTTATATTCGCTATGATATACGTATATGTTCTCTCGTTTTCGTTTTAGGCACATTGATTTGGTTGTGTGTGTGTGTATTTGTGTGTGTGTATGTGTGTGTGTGTGTGCGCGCGTGTGTACGCGCGCGTGTGTGTGTGTGTGTGTGTGTGTGTTCTGCTGCTTTTTTCTCCTTTAGTTCTTCTCCTGGCGAGTGGCGAACGCTCGTGGCTCTCTCGCCAAGCGGATTCCTGTGCCCCTCGTGAAATCACGAAAAGCGAGCGATCTCTCCGTGTGCCGCTTGTAGATGCGGAGCGGGTGAAGTGTTCGTCTAGCGGTGCCAACCGATTGGTGGGAAGGTGGTGGAGTGCGTGTAGGTGTCCGAAGTTGTCTTCACTGTTTTCTCCGAATGAGTCTGATTCGTAGCCATTCGGAACGCTTCTGTTTGGCTATTTGCGTCACCGTTTTTGTCGCAGTCTCGAAAGCAACTGCGCCAGCAGTACTCGACGATACAGAGTTACGAAAATACCGGAGGGATGTAATGTTGTTACGACGCTAGGTACGACCTGTTCGAAGGTCGGCGAAGCGATACGACGCGGTACCGAGAAGTTGACGTTCCCCGCCTGACAGCCGGAATCGCCATCAAGATGCGTAAAAAAAGACACCTTTTATTTCGGGGTAAGGTTATTTATTTCGTCGGAAGTGTTCGTCGATCGGGTTCATTGTAAGCTAAGGCAGTAAATATGAGCTGCTCTCGACCAACATGACGGCTTTCCTGATGTACGCGGGGCTGGCGAGGCATGGGAGGGTGGCGTTGGTGGTGCGAACAGCCGGAACATGCACGAGCCGTGCATCATGCACGAGCCACGGTCCATTTCAACCGATAGTTAGCGTCTATCGATGTGCGGTAATAACTGACCGAGAGAAATAAAATAAATCGACAAAATAAATATGCCGTCCTTATAGCTTTACTGTTTTAGTTATTCTTTTTTTATATGTGGCATTTCTGAGCGAGGTAGTTGAGCGTCAGGACGTATAATTAAAACACAACGTAAAGATATTTGCTTTGGTAGGCCAGTGGCACTACAAAGCTTAAGAGATACTTGCATTTCGAGGTGAGATGACGTTAACATACCTAGATAAACGTAATGCAAGCCGAACACCCGATTGACTCCAGTGGGGCCGCTTTTACGGGAACCGAACTCTCTATTAAACGTCCACACGGCAAAAAAAAAAAATATCAAGACAGTTCTATTGAAGTAGTTGATGTGAGACGCCAAGGTTAGGCCATCCCGCTACGAAAACAACCATCCGCACAGCGCTACCGAAGGGGCGTATACTTGCGGCAGTTGTTTGCAGCAAACTACGTCGTTTGATGAAATCTTCCCCTAAACACCTCGGTGAACGCAAAACAACTCGCATTCATAGAAATCGAGTTCAACGATCTCTGCTCGTTCAGCACTTGGCAAATGCCGGCAGCCATGTTTGTTAACGTGTCAAACCAAAGCGAGAAAAGTACTCTGAGAATACATTTGAAAAAAATAATGACCACCTTGATTAATTGCTTCTCAAACATAGTAAAATAGTCGATTACAATACAATTGCAGCACGGAGGTACAAATTATGAAACAATCTTTCGCACGTCCAGCCAGTGAGAGATATGAGCACCTTGTAGGCACGGGGCGGGGCTTCGCGGGCTGCGACCTCCACATTCTGAATCTAAATTGCGTCTAGTGGCGTAAATACAGCTAAAAACTATTTTTCTTGGTAGATGTTTGTTTTCTATATACGTTAGAAAAATTATATTTATTATATTTAGAAGACTAAAATATTTTTTTTTTATTGCAGTGTTCTTTAAGGCGTAATTTCGTGTCGGCTTTGTATATAAGGAATCCAGCCACTGCGAAACGGCTGGTTGCCTAGAGCATTTAACGTTCATTACGAAGTCCCGTATGATTCTCATTCAGATGGAAACTGGAAGGGGGAAAGGGTGTATTGATCCCAAGATACCTCAGTTCCGCAGCATTAGCTTTTGCTCCACGTGCTCTGATCTGCTGTGCACTAACACAGCCGTCCATGGATCCACTCAAAGCACCAACCATTTGGCCTTCTTTTCGTAATTCTGTCTCGGAAAGAGGAGATCGGTATGATGTTCCAATGTCCATGCAGTCCCAATTAGAGAAAAGGCGCATGAGCAATTTTTTCGCTGTCATTGTGTTACAGCTAAAACCTTCTACAGATAGTAATTTTTTATTACTGGTGGCTAATTCTAATTGTTGATGATTAGAGTGCGCTGTAGTGCTCTATACACTCAAAGATCTTGAGGTTCTGGAGCACTTGAAACTCTCTTGCATCCCGACAAACGCCTCTGAAAGCTTTTCTCTCTTCAGTAAATAATCACCTTTAGTCGACGAAGTAGATTCCGGAAGCAAAACTCAAGTTAAATTTTCACAAATAATGTTTGCGAAGTATTAAGAATGGAGATTATTATCAATTCTGGAACAGGTAAGTTCGCGACATGAAAACATAATATACAATAAAAAGTGAAAGAGAAATCATCTCTCATATTTTTTTCCTGAAGTAAATGGCCAATTGCGAGTAATGGAGTGGAGACGAGGATACCATATCTGCTGTGATTCCAGGACAAATTTCGAGGCGTCTGGAATCATCATAATCTAAACTCCGAGACAAGGAGAAATAAAATAACGGACAAGACGACACAAACTCTGTTTGTATTGTTTTGTCTCAGGGTTTATATTATGATGTTTGCTCACCAGCTCACCGGCATGCTATTGCTCCTTGCAACGTCTGCAATGTTTGTGAAAAAATACTGTTTCGCTAAGATTTTTCCATTACCGGGGTTCGATCAATTCTAGACTCGTAATTTCGGCGGTGATGTTCTAAAAAAAAAAGAAAGAGAAAACAAGTTTTTACTTTTGCTTCTTTTTCCTTGGAGAGGGAAGGGGGGAGGGAGTGGTTCCTGCAATCGTTCTATAACATAGTGTGCCGCACGTTTCCTGCATCGTAGTTTGTAATCATCAAAGACCTTGAGTATCGCCGCTATATAAAATAAAAAAGGGAATATACCTTTTCCTTTCGTGGTTTATCCGTAGTTTGAAATAATCACAATTATATTGCCAAAATTCAGCTGACCAATACTGCTCAGAGAATGATCACAGTCACTGATTCACTGTTTAACGTACACTAAGGCACACTCAATGCATCCTTCAGTACTAGAATTCGTGTTTTTACCCTGTTAGTTTCATGACAGGAATTGCTGGAAAAAAATGTTTGGAGCATAGCACATGCTCCGAGCATCGCCCAGTCGGTAAATTACCACTTCGCCTATCCAAGTTCCACTTCCCCGTCATGGGTGGTGTAAACAGGTTCCCTCTCTCTCCCTTTCTCTCTCTCTCCTATCCAAGTGCTGAGGAAATTATCAGTGCCGTAACGTTTTTTTTTTGCTTTCGTTTAATGCGGTTTAGGCCAATAAAGTCAATCATAAATACTTACGTATAGTGTTTTGTTCCCCTGGCTGAGTGTTGCGGATAGCGGTAAAATAAATAGATAAGCATTCATCTCTTAACTGGTGTCCAGAAAGAGCAGTTCCAAGCCTAGCTACGTATTGGGGCCACTAACGTCTGCACTTCGTTTCACTTTATGCCCGATCGCAGCCGACGCCTCGATCTGGTGTAGCCAATCAAGCGGTACCAGAAGTGCATCGTCATGTCACACCTGAGCTGAGTTTGAGCTGAGTTTGAGACGTTCTCTGTGTCTGTTCCTTCTACTGAAAGTTCTTCCGATTTCTTCCACCGCAGTCTCAGGTGTAATACGACATGATTAGCTACCACCAGCTCGCCTGCACTCTCACCGTCTTTTCACTAATGTCACACCTTGTCATTGTGCGTCTCGTATTACCGACTAAACCAGAAACGCACACAGAAAAAAAAAAAACTCATTTTCTTTTGCAGTTTTAAAATTTAGCGTCGAGAATTGTGTTTTTTGGGCTTCCAGCTAACTTCATAGCCCCAGAGCACATGTCTAGAAGGCGCCGCAGTCGGGCGATAATCAGGGCCTTCAGCGGCAAAGACGCGCAACGATGGGTAGGCGACGGCACGTCGTCTGCTGCTCCTGCCCCCTTTCTCGTTGCTAACCTCCGAACGCGGCTCTGGCTCGTTTTACTGCGTACGCCCGTGAGTGATATGAAGGTGAACAGCCTTTTTCTTGTTTTTGACGCTCCTGCAAGTTTTGGAACAAGCTCTGTTCCAGAAGAGGGCTAGAACGCAAAGTTTAGACCCCAAGCCACGTACCATTTGAGACGTTGAGATTTAATATAGCTTTAGGGAGCCGTAAAACAGGCAAGGAACCAGGTAAGGCGTTCACCTTCATATTGCCGGCGGGTGTACGTTCTCTCATGTATCGAAAACGTAGTGACTATGCTTTGTCTCAGAAAGAAATGAGCTGTTCCTTTGGTATTGCGGACATAGTGCTCCGGGCATATCCTGGGTAATCGATTAAATATGCTTTGATACAGAAGCCACTAACGCAACAAAGTGTCGGGACGACTTCCGCCTCGGGGGGTAATCAATGTGATTAACATTCACTAGGTCATGCCCGCCCTTAATTTTTTTTTTTTCATTTTATACATAATGTTTTATTTCGCAGAAACTCAGGAATTGTGTTTGAGGGAAGAATAATTTTATTCACATTATTATTATATTGTTCGTGAACTGAACAGGAAGCATGTTTTATTTTTAGTTATTGAATTATATTCAAAATAAAAAATGCACAACACTGTTGAAATTGTAGTCAAGCATAATTTGATGGCTTGATATTTCGGGAACTTGGCAAGATGTCACATTTTTTAATAAATTACGGGAATAAATATCGCGATCTAGAATAAACTGGTCAATATTTTCCATTAGAATAATATATTTTCATGACCATCCTTTTTGGATTTGTTTTCGATTCGGAGGGCTTAAGTCGAAGATGTATA